GCTACATCTATGGATTTTGGAATTAGGAAATAAATTTGAGCAAGTAGGCAAATTCTGAAGCATTKAATAGGAAGAATAATAATTGATTGTATTCTACTTTCCAAGTCACCTTGTTACCTGGTAAGTTTCAGTGCCTGAGTTCTGACAGGCAGCATTAGCCACCCCACTTGAGGGCCTGAGGCACCATCAAAGCATCTAAAGTGTGCTTATCAGGCAACCTGGAAGAGTGTTGTTGGACAACAACTATCAGGGACTATTTACACAGCATCAACACTGTATTGGGTATTTTAAGTACTCTAAGTATTTTAAATTGATGATTTAAAGTGTACAGGAGAAGTATACTTCAAATAGGTTATATGCAAATGCTACAACGTTTTATATAAGGAACGTGAGCATTCGTGGATTTGGGTATTCACCGGGTGGTGGGAAGCTGAATGGGTGTCCTGGAACCAATCCCCACAGATACTAAAAAACAGCTGTATTAATTTGTCATGAGTGGAAAAGGTTGGGAAGGCACCATACTTTACATTTTACAGGTGTGTGGAGGGAGCAGGAGCAGTGTGAAGGAATATGCAGTATGTGCCTATCGGCTAGGAGGGGGTTCTTTTATTTACTCTGAGGATGGTTGACTCGAGACCTCGTTTGTGCCCACTGCTCTGGCCTTAGGGTGGTGTAGCAAATGCCTTCCCGTTTTTAATTATCCTTCCAATGCACAGTCCTCACTACCCCAGCCCCACCTCATGGCACCTCCCTCTCCCTTTCCAGGGTGGATTCCTTCCGCGCAGGTGCAGAGGGCCGAGGTCGCAGCGCCTTTCCTCGCCGCCGCCCCACTCACTACACTGTGACGGTGCCAGATTCCTGCTTCTCCCCGAGCAAGCCCCCGCTGCCCCACCCCGCCTGTCACTCCTGCTCCGAAGACAGTGGCTCTGATGTCTCCAGCATCTCCCACCCCGCCTCTCTGGGCAGCAGCAGCCCTGACATCTTTGTTAGGCCTCTCTGTCTACCTGAGCCACCCCGCCACCACGGGTGGGGCCCGGCCTGCGGCAGAGAGCTGGCCACCCACTACCCCAAGCTGCTGCTGCCCCCTGGCTACTTGGCGGCAGGGCGGTATGTGATGGTGACCGAGGGCCACCTGCCGCCGGGCGAGTGGGAGCTGTGTCGCGCCGCCCTGGGGCCTGCTTACGAGGAGGAGGGCGCGCCACTGCGCTACCAGCGCCTGGTGCCCTCCCACAGCCGCATCGTGCGCACGCCCTCCCTGAAGGACAGCCCCGCAGGCCGCGGGCTCAGCAAGGCCGCCGTCTCCGAGGAGCTCAAGTCGTGGCATGAGCGGGCTCGCCTCCGGAACAGTCGCCCCCAGTCGCTGGACCGTCAAGGGGCTTTCCGGGTCCGGAGCCTGCCCCCCGGGAGAGAGGGCTTCGGGCGAGCCCTGGGGCCCCGGGCACAGGTACGGGCACAGGTACGGCTGCTCTGCAGGGACCCGAGGCCGGAGGGGCGGCTGGCAGGGAAGGGCTGCCTTCTAACAGGTCCAAGAATGGAAAAGCCAACTAGCTGCCTAGTGGCGAGGTGATTCCCAGCTGGGAGGATTAGGCCYGAAAAACATTTCCTCTTGGCTTTGGAAGACACCTCCCTGCGGCGCCTGCTAATTTTGCCTGYCACATCTAGCTCCAGAGCACACACCGCTGTGCCCTGGTAGCGATGATCCCGCAAGATAACTGAGGCCTTTTTTTCCCCCTAATGGCTCCACAGATGATCCACAAAGCAGATAAGCTTCTTTGGAATCAAAAATCTAAGCCAAATTAGCCCCTGAAAAGTCCCGACTTGAGGACCTGGGACAAAGGGAGAGTCTGGAAATGGGGAAACTGGAACCTGTGATTGCCTGACATCAAGTTCCTCCCTGACTCCCCTCCACTGCAGCACTCTGAGAAGCAGGTGGTGTCAAGAGTGGAGACCCTCTAGCTAGATGACCAGGCTCAAATTCCAGTCCCACTACTTACAAGCTATATGGTTGGACAGGTTACTTAACCCCTTTGAGCCTTTGTTTCTTCCTCTGGAAGATGGGAGTAATTAAAACAAAAACTTATAGGACAGTTTAGAGACCGAAATGATTAGGGCAATGCACAGCTAATATCGATAACTGACAGTGTTATTTGGGCCTCCCAGAGGCCAAGGACCAGGTCAGTGGWCTGTATATAGGTGAGAACATGCTGATACTGGTCTGAGAGCAACCTTGCTCTCCAGGGACCCAGTTTCTTCATTCTGGAAGTGGAATAGTATGCATGAATCATTTCTTTATGCTCCCTCCCTGGTACCAAGGGCTCTGCAGGGGATATGCTGTCTTTGAGACCCCAGATTCCCAGCAGCACAGCTGCGTGCCCCTCCCCATCACCAGTTCTTTGGGCTGCAGCTGCTATCCCAGGCTGGGTAGTACCCTGGCCCAGTCCCAGGCTGCACCCTCCCGCTGATGGGCTGTTCCATTCCTGCAAGTTCAGACATGTCCTTGGCTAGGCCTGGCCCATCCCAACCTGCCAGACAGGGAGGGTGATGAAAAGTGAGCCCAGGAAAGGGCAAATGAGGAGGTCAGGGTGCCAGTCACACTCCAAAGGAACCTGGAGTGGCAAATGGGTAGAGTGGTCCCTGGGGAATATAGAGCCTCCTGAGGAGGCAGCCCCTGGTCTGTGTCCTCAAGGGATAGGAWGCTGTAATGGGAGTTGTTGTCCTGACACTTCCACCTGCTTCACACCCACTTGTCCTTTCTTCCTTCCCCTGGCAGGCGCCCACAGTGTGTGTGCTCCGGAGATCGCCTGAGGGGGCCCCTGTGCAAGTCTTCGTCCCTGAGAATGGAGAGATCATCAGCCAGGTGTAGCTGTGCTCTGAATGCCTCGGCCACCGCTGGAAAAGACTTTTTCTGTGGTGGAGCTGGGGCTGTGACCCCTCACCCTTGAGTGCCTCCTCCAGCTCCCCCACCCCCATCGCAGGCCGATGACCTGGAGCTGAGACCTTTCTTTTTCTTTTCTTTTTTTTTTTACACAAGTTTTTTCAGAAGCTCTGACCTAAGGATTTATATCTGTGATTTGTCATCAAGGTCCCTATAATATGATGATGCGTTAGCCCCCATAGTCTAGCCTCTTGGACTTAAGACCTTGCCTGTCTGCTGATAGAATTTGTCTCCTTATGCAAGACAAGTGGCAGAGAGGGCCACTTTGGGGAGTCCTCAAATGATCTGTGCCCTGTTTCTGAAAAGAAACAGTTCCTGGCCCTCCTATTTCCTTATCGCTGGAGGCTGGACACGGCACAGGCTTGTGTACAGGACTTTCCCTGGTTTTCCAGGTCTCTGGGTACCATAAACTGGGAGACTCCTTCTCCCTTTATAATGTGCTCTGTGATGCACACCGAATGGCCGGTGAAAGGTCGGTATATCCTGATGGAGTTTTGTCTTCCTGGATCCTGCAATTTTCCTGACCCCATAAATCTCCTTTAGGGACCCCAGTCACTATCCTCACTTTATGCCCTTGGCTCCCTGACCTCTGAGCCTTAAATTTGAGGCTGTATCAGATTGTAGCATGAGAGGCGAGGCTAGGGGCTGGCCTGCTCTGGTGGTTGGTGAGGACCAGCTCACCCCAGAACAATCACTCCTGGACATCAACAGAGCTGCTGTCCCACTCCTCCCTCTCTCATCTTTTCAATATAGTCCCAGAAACCAATACCTGTTTACAAATCTTTATGGAAACACACCACTTTGGGGGCACATTCAGGACCAGGCAGCTTTGCTTCTGTTCTGGGAAAGTCTCTGTACACACACGGGAGATGCTAGATTGTTGAGAGAAYGTTAATAAATTGTCCCAGTTGCTGAGACAGAGAGATCCTGGTAGCTGCCTGAGCTTAAGACCACTGACAGTCCCTGAGTTCTCGTCCGAGGGCCTCCTTTGCTGCCTGGTTGGATGCCCAGGTACACATCTTGCCTCAATAAGAAAGCAACTGGAAGGGGGAGGGGCAGAGGAGCTGCATTTCTGTTTCTCCTGCGCAGAATGCTCCCCCGCGAGTTCCCTGGCTTGGAACAGGGACTGTGATTATAGCAAAAGACTCCAAAGGTGCAGTTCCCCCACGGGAGAAAGTGGTGTAGCAGATTGCACGAGGGTGCTGAGGTGCTTAGGGACAAACGAGGATGGCCGTCATAGGAATGTGGGGAAACACACAAAGCAGTTCTTCCTGTGCTCTTAGCGCATCCTGCTGTTGTCCCTACCTTGGGGTCCACTTCCCCCCATTATGTTTGAATGCCCTACGTTGGCTTGTCCCTAGCCCCTTTCTCCAGYGTATAGCTTACCCCCTCTCCCCTGCACCTCCCTGTGTCTTCCCTGAAGCCTTGAGCTTCCCAGGCTGAGCTAGGAGACCTCTGAGCATCCTTGATAGTAACTTATTGGTCCTTCATAAAACCTCTGGTGCAGTGCAAAGTGGCCTGTCCTCTGCTGCAGGGCTGGAACTGTATGGGTCTTAGTGCCAAATACATCAATAAAGTCTGTGCTTTGTGATTGGCTCAACTGAGGATGAAGGTGGGTTTTTTTTGTGTGTGTTTGTGTGTGTGTGTGTGTATGTATGCTGAATTTCCTGAACACAGGCTGTACCCAAGTCTCCCAGAGTGTCTGCCCAAGGTGGCTAAGTTGCCTGGCCTCTCCAGCTGGTCTGACCAGGTCCTGGGGAGTGGGTGGGATGGGTGGGGTGACAGGAAAGTTCACACACTGCTTCCATGACTGACGGGAGTGCAGCCAGCACAACCCTTGTCAAAGCTTCGAAGTTTTGCTCTGGGGCCTGAGGATCTGGGCTCTAGAAGTCACTTCCTCAATAAAGATCTGGCTTTGTGACAGCCTCAGGTCTGGCTTGAGCTAGGCAGGGTAGGAAGTGGTTAGAGATGAATGTGGCCAAGTTTCCAGCTCTTCCAGGCTGTTCCTGATACTCTTGGCTGCCCAGAGCAGAAGCCTCTGAGAAATATCCACTTCCCTGTGACTGGAGCCTGCCTTCCCAGGGTGGTGAGGAAGGGCTCTCCACAAGCCCCTTCTCATCAAAGTGTCCACAGGTCTCCCTCCACAAAGGTGGGGGTGGGAGCTCCAACTGGGATCACTTCTGAGGTTGCCCTGTAGGGGCCGCCAAGGATCTGGGAGCACAGCGCCCCCTGGAGCCACAGTGCCTGGGAGAAGCCTGTGCCCATGATCTGAGGTGCCCAGAGTGTCAGGTAAAAGGGGTCTCTGCTTGACTGTCCCTTTCCACAGCCACTGAAGGGCAGGGCACGAAGGGCCTAGGCAGATGGCTGTGGGCAGAGATGACTCTAGCCCAATCCTGGGTGCTTGGCCCTGGGGACCATGAGAATCTGTGGGTTTTAGGGGCCCAGCTCACTTAGGCCTGGGGGGTGCTCCATGCGGGAGGTTGGCAGGCTGGGAGGGGAGATAGCACCCAGGTCTCTGGAGGAGGTGTGGGCATTCTGATCTCAGACCCGAACATCTTGGATGATGGGGGTTGGGGGCACTTGATTTTGTATTTTATTTCCTTATTTTGCTATGCTGGGAATTAAATAAGGGCCTCACACATGCTAGGCAAGACYTCTACCACYGAGCTGYATTCTCAGCCCTTGATTTTGTATTTTGGACAATTGTTATAAGTTAGGCTCAGGGAGATTTTGACTATCAGGAAGTTCTCAGGGATGATTTGTGTGAGGAGGCAGCTCCCCAACAAGACCCTTAAAAGAGCTGGGTGTGGTGGCGCACGCCTGTAATCCCAGCAGCTTGGGAGGCTGAGGCAGAAGGATTATGATTTCAAAGCCAGCCTCAGCAACTTAGTGAGGCATTTAGCAACTCAGTGAGACTCTGTCTCTAAATAGGTTATCAAAAAGGACTGAGGATGTGGCTCAGTGGCTAAGCACCCCTGGGTTCAATCCTCAGTACAAAAAAAAAACACAAAAAAAACCCAAACCCGCCCCGCCCCTAAAAGGCTGTAGACTAATAGAGACAAGGGAGGGCCCCACAGCAAAGCTTTTTTTTTTCCCCCTTCATTGAAGATTGAATTCGGCTTGCTCTGTCACTGAGCTCCATCCCCAACCTTTTTCATTTTTTATTTTGAGACAGGGTCCCACTAAGATGCTGAGGCCAGCCTCGAACTTTCGATCCTCTTGCCTCAGCCTCTGCAGCCACTGGTATTGCAGGCATGTGCCACCACACCTGACACTAGCAAGGCTCTCCTAAAAGTAGCAGCCAGCCATGGGTTGTGCCAGTTTAGGGACCCGATTGAGCAATAGTTTATTCTTGGTTCACAATCAGATTTCCCTGGGTCATGTCTGAGAGGGGCAGACCACCTGTAGGGAACTTCTGCTCCCCTCCCATAGGGCAGAAGTGGGATTATGAACTTGGGGACAGAAGTCTTTAAGAGGAGGGGCTTCTGGATTTTACCTTAAGACTCCCAGAGGCAGAGGGATGGTTAAGATGAGCTGGAATCTCCCCTGAGGCAGATTTTTCCATGCAGGGAGATCCCTGAATRGAAGGCTACTGGGCACGTAGGGATGAATCAGGGCTCTCCAGAGGGTCCTAGATCTTCCCATAGGAAAGAAAGGAGAACCTGGCAGAGGTACCCAACATGGGCACTGCTCAGCCAATTCCTTTTCCCATAAATGACTAGGCTGCCTCCTGCGGCTTCACCTTCAAGTGCAGACGCTGCATCTCTAGTTGCTGCTGCCCGTGCGTGCAGATGAATCCACATCACAGCAGGCGAAAATCAACCAGAGTAACCTTTGAGTCATCATTTTTACAGGACTCTTGGAAGCCAGACATATCAGGTGAGCAGTTGGCCCTGGCCCGGACTGCCTCTCAGATAACTGCAGCCACTTAAAAGTGGTGCTTCTTGGTTGGCCCTAGCTTGAAATGTCACTTAATGAGCACAAGTCTGCCTACAGATTCTGACTGCCCTTTCCATAGCTCTAATCTCTGCAGGYCTATCCCTTTTGCAGGTTTGCCTCCGTGTGTTGTCTGAGACTTTGGGTGAAAACCCACCTGGCTGACAGGTGCTCAGGAGGACAGCCAGAACAGATCGTTAGATACCACCTCTATGCCAACAGCCCCCCAACTCATGATATTTATAAACCAGATCTGCAGTCCCTGAATTCCAGGTTCATAAATCCAAGTGCCTATTAATGTCTGCACTTTGGTGCCTAGTAGGCCTCTCAAAAATAACATGTTCCAAACTGAACCCCTGCCTTGACTACCCAGCAGAGATCTGTTCCCTACATCAATAGAAAATCTTTTTAAGTTTCTCATCTTAAAAAAACAAAACAAAACAAAAACAAAAACAAAACAAAACAAAAAAACCAAACCATACCAAACCGGCAGGGGATATAGCTCAGTTGGTAGAGTGCTTGCCTTGCATGCACAAGGCCCTGGGTTCAGTCCCCAGTACCACAAAACAAACAAACAAACAAACAAACAAACAAAACCCCTTGACTTCTTATAATCTGGTCCATCAGCTGTGGGAAGCCGTTCTGGCACATGATTGGGCACCTCCCTGACTGGGTGTGAGGCGTTCTGGCTAAACTGTGTCAGAACTAATCCCCACCCTTTCTAGGTGGGAGAGCCCATCCGTGTGGGGGTATGACTGACCATTGACCCTGAGACCAATCACTGACCCTGACCTTGGAATGCTGTCCCCCTTGACCTTCATTGGATGGAATTTTCCCCTGAATTTCAATGTCTGATTCCTCATCCTCAGACTTCGACTCGTGGGAAGATTCTCCGCCATTGCCATTTTGAAATTGGGCTCCTAAGTCACGTGGTGGAGAAGGGCTTTGTGCCTCTGTAAGAATTATTCCCGGATTTTCCTCCCCGGGAGGATTACTTTCTATCTCTTCCGGAGGACTCTCTATGCCTCTGGGAAGAGAACTTTCTATGCCTCTGGAGGTTTCCTCTCTATGACCTTGGTCTCTATGATCTTCCTCCAAGCTAC